GCACCTTACCTTTGTAATTAGCAGCTTTCGTTAGTTCTAACCTGGACAGAAGTGCCTGACATCACACATTGCTTATTGATGCAGGAGTGGGGTGACTGGAAGGCTGAGCCCAGGCCACCACCAGCCCCACAGGAGCTTGTTAACAAGTTCAGAATTATGGGGGGTTCCTGGCCAAGGAAGCATCGATCAAGTGCCCTTTGGATGGATAATTTCTGTTATTTTTTTACTGAGTCTTGTCTGTAAAACTTACCATCTCCTCAAGGACAGAAGTCAAACCATGGAACCAGAGCCATGAAGCTCGTCGAGATCTCTGTGGTCATCAAGCCATCATGGTGACCATCCCCACTCAAAGAACCACAGAATCACTCAGATTGGAAAAGATGTCTGAGATCATAAGTCCATCCCCAGCCCATCCCACCATGCCCACTGTTCACCACATCTCCACTTATAAACTTAGGTGGCAGGGCCTGTTTGCAGCACATCAGTTGTCTGGCAGCCACTCACAGGATAAAAACTTTAAAAAAAACACAAAGAATGACTTTTATGAGTGAGCTTGATTCTTTTGTCAAGGATTACTCACTAACCTGCCTGTGATAGCCCATAATATTCACTTTAATAAAATATTTGCACTCTTCAGCGCTCATAAATTTTCCCAATATTTCAGGGCGTTTCTAAACAAAATTAACCCCGGCGCAGGGAGCGTCTCAGCTCATTGCTTTCAGGCTTTCCGACACTACTTATTGCATTGGCTCAGCCCCAAAATGAGCAAAGGAATGCAAGGGCACTGCAGCGTTTGGATTGTATATGTGTGAAATTCTAAACACAGATGATGTAGGCTAGGCGGGTGACCTGTACATCCGTGGAGAGTGCAACTTGATTTCCAACTTGACAGCTTTTTGTTGAAATGAAGGGGATGGATGGGGCCTGCAGGCTGCAAGCTGTGGAAATCCGGGGCAGGGCAAGCCGTGAGGCTGTGGTAGATGTCACTCAGTGTGAGCCTTGGGAATTATCCTGAGATCAGTCTCAAGAGCTGCCTTGTATTTCTTAAATAAGGGCAGAAAAGAAGATGGTATCATAGAATCGCAGAATAGTTGGGTTGGAAGGGACTTAAAGATCATAGAGCCGTGGAATGGTTGG